GGGCGGCTGGAGCGGCGGAAAGTTCTAGCACTTGACCTTGCAGGCCTAGCCCGGGGGCGTCCGCTGAGGGGCGGAGGCAGTGTTTACACGAGCGGGGCGGGCGGGGAGTCTGTTCTGGGCGGGCAGGTGATGCTGCAGGTTTGCTTGGGAAAGGCGGGGTAACGAGGAGGCCTTTGTGTGTGTTAGAACCTTTACTGAAAGCAAGATTTAGAAGGTTTTGTCTAGTGAAGCTTACTGTATTATTAGCTGCTAGCGTACAGGTTTTTTGAGACACTGGATGGTGAAGGTGTACTATCTTCCTTACTGACCCAAGTTATTTCATGCTTCTTTAGGAATTCAGGAATTTCCATGTTGCATCCAGTCATGCAAAATTAGAAATAATGATGCCCCTTATCATTGAACTCCCAGAGCATGGCAGAAGCATTCAAGATCCCAATTACGACTGAAAGAACTATGACTGGCAGCAAGTAAATATCAGTGACAATGTTAGCGCTAACAGTCTGCAGACATATTTGGTATGTATATAATCTAAATAAATACATTGTTTTAATAAAAATGAGCATCTGCGTGCGCAAGCAAATGCATATCAGTACTATTGAAATGAATACTAGAACATGGATTTCAGTTTGGTATATGTGCAGCTCTGCAAAGCTGTGTTGATTTGTTTCGCGTATGTTGGCTCAATGTAAGAAGAGAACATAGGAAAATCAATGATGTTTACCTTAAAGGGATGGAACGCAAAAAAGAGGAAGTTTTTTTTTCAAAGAGGAAATCAAAAGGGGTTACTTGCAGACTAAATGTGTGCAGGCGAGACAGACAAGGTTTTGTGTTTGTTTAGTCTTTTCAAATCTTCAAAAATTTAGCAAGGTTTATACAAGTTATATACAAACAACAAAACCCCCAAAATAATCTGTGCTAAGCTAAATGCAATAAGGAAGAACAAGAGAAGATTGGACAATTTGCTATTTTTGCAGCCTTTGCAAAAGCCTTTTTCAGACTCCTCAGAGGCAGGAAATCTGTAGGGCCAGTAGATACAGAGCGTTAAAAAGAGTATTTTGGGAGAAAACTCTTTAGCAAGCTGTATTAAATCAGTAACTCCATGCTGAAAAAAACGATTAGA